GAGAGAGAGAGAGAGAGAGAGAGAGAGAGAGAGAGAGAGAGAGAGAGAGAGAGAGAGAGAGAGAGAGAGAGAGAAGAAAGAAGCAAGGTCTAGGCTAGGCTAGTGGTGCATGCAACAACCTAATGGTTACTAACACACCAAATGTTGGCTTGCTCAGAAGCCGCTTGTGAGTTGTAAATGGACTCTGACATCTGAACAGCCCTTCCTTTCTCCAGTGGGCACTGAACACACTGGCTCTACCACTAAGCTATATCCTCTGCCTTCTTTAATTACCATTTGCTCTCAAGGTTGCCCTAGCTGGTCTGGAACTTGGTATGCAGACCAGGCTACCCTTGAAACAGCAGGGAATCTTCTGATTCTACTTCCAGAGCAGCTGGGATTACAGGCCTCTGCCATCAGCTCTGACTTAAACAGAGCTTTGCTATGATCTGTTTTAGGAAAAAACTATCTTTGATTCTGGAAAGATGCAATCACTTCCTCTCCCTTTATCCTGACTCTTGCACCTGAGATGCCACTTGGATGGCCCTGTCCACCCTGTCTGTCAGCAACTGGCCCTCTCTCTGTATTGGCTCCTTCCTCTAAACCCAGATATGGCCGCATCTTCCCTGTGAGTGCATTTGGTTCTTGGATTAATGATGAAAGAACACATCTCAAAGTGAACTCTTCAGGCACAACAAGGGAAATTGCTTATCAAAAATAAGTTTTAGTGACTTAAAATACCACTCGTATCTTAAGACAGCCATTAAGAAGAAGCAAATTTGACAAGATGCTCTGGGGAGAAGAGTGCGCACACACCAACCATCTTTCACTCACTGAACTTGAAACCTGTGTTCCTCAAGGTGCCTCTCTCATGATCCTATGAAATCAAGCGCATATCTAAGAGCATATCTGAAACCATGTTCTTTTGTGTGATGCTGGAGACAGAACCCAGGGCCTGGTGAGTGCTAGGCAAGCATTCAACCTAGGTTATGCCCTTAGTTCCCAACTTTTATTTGAAAGGAAGACATGAGTTTGAACACACAAGCAATTTTCTTTCCATCCCTATCACTACTTCTGGGAGGAATGATATGGGCAGAGACCCAGGTGTAAATAACGAACAGATACTCAAGTTAGGCCTGTCATGTAGCATTCCAATGTTCAAATGGGATGTGAAGTTGCAATTTTTCTTTAATTACACATGGCTTTGTCATCACAATGCAGTAAATTATTTAAAAGTTAGTACTGCATATGTCCCCCTTGTAGGCAGTGGCAAATGGGGCTGCCTGGCAATCAGACCTCACGTCCTGCTGCTTGACAGCTGAAACAATCAGTGGGGGTAAGCACTGAGAATATTCACAACATATAATGGCAAGTTAAATTACCATTTTTATTGTATGCAATTTCTTGAGAAAATAAATAGGTAATATGCAAGGAGGGATTGCTACAGAGTAATGCCTGCTTGCTCAAGCAACCACATACCCTTTCCAATTTGAGAGGAACAAGCAAATACCCTCTCTGGCAAAAATGTCCTGACGGAAACATGTAATTTACTGTCCCTGTGGCACATACAATTGAACATAGTACCTTCTTCAGGAGAAAAAAAATACAGAAACAAAATACAGGTTAGCAAGCCAAACAGTATAAGTGCGAGTGATGTGGATGAATATAGGTGCTATAAACAGTCAGAGGCCCATGAGAAGTACTTTCCTTTGGTCCAGGGGCCTGTTTGGGAGACAAGGGAAGCTGCTAATTAGGGCATAAATCAGTTTATAAAAAGACAGATCTCAATCTTTTTAAGAGAAAAAGACTGCTCTGCCAAAGCTTGGATCAAATATCCCAGCAGTAGCAGAAAAGAAGCTAAATAGAACCTGATCAACCTTCCTCTAAAGGTTACCTTTATAACTCTGCCTCCTCAGGCAGAGAGAAGGCCAACCAGCCCATGTGTAAAGGACAGTGGGAGAGGGAGAAGGGACTAGCCATAGCCAGGCTTCCCTCTGACACAGGGCACTCTTGGCTCCTCAATCATTACAGGGGGAGTTCTCTCTGAGGATGTGGAGGGGAGCTCTGGGAAGATGCTCCAATGTCGTTATAGGAAAATTGTGAAGATGCTGCTTACTCAAGCTGTGATGAGGAAAAAGAAACCATACCACAGGGACAGCAGAGGGAGCTCACTGCTGTTTTCCCATTAGGCACCCCTCAAAGTTTATTGCCCTTAATCCCAACCTGACCTGTCCTTCTAGTTCATGATTCAGTGCATTGGGATGGCTTTTATTTGTTTGCCTTGTTTTTCTTTAAAAGAGTTAAAAACATTTTTTTTTTTATTAGAAGGATGAAAACCTCCTTTCCCCCCTCTTCTCTAAGTAAACTGAGATATTTACAGTAGCACAGCCTCAAGGCTTGTTTGCTATGTCAGTGGTGATCCACAGCGCTCTTCTGGTTCTTGCTGGATTACTGTGCAGAGATAAACAGAGCATTTCTGTCACACCCCTCAGCAACATGAGAGTCTGTCAGCTTTCCTCTCCTCCTGGGCAGTGACAGTGACATTCTCCTTATGGACAGTTCCTGAATCTCTCCTCTCCTCACTAACAAAGCTGCTTCACAGTTGAGTACACAACTTTTCTTGGAAGCAATTTTTTTTTTTTTTTTTGTCTATATCTGGCCCTAAATGCTGTACCTCAGAGTTCAGAAAACCATCTTCCAGCAATGGCAAGAACATCATTGTTAGCAGACATTCTATTGCATTGAGTGCATTGAGGGTATACTGACATTTTAAATGATTTTTTTTCCTCTGGAGAACCATGTGTGTCATTGTGTGTGTGCACATGTATGTGGGTACTCGTGGAGGTCAGAGAGGGCACTGGGTCCCCTGGAGCTGGAGGGATATGCCTGTTGTGAGCCACCTGATGTGGGTGCTGGGAACCAAACTGGATCCTTCACACTAGCAGTGGGGGCTCTTAATTGCTGAGTCACCTTCCCAGCCCCAGTATGCTGAAATTTTATGTAAGAGAAAATAGCCCTGACCAGCCTGTTGACAACAGTAAAACAGAGTTTGCCAGAATTTCAGCTTTAGCTGGCATTTCCGTCCCAATCCTACCATTAAGAATCATAGGTATTTATTTCCCTCTCATTGAATATGCTTTGGTTTTTGAAAAATCATCCATCCTTTTTACAGCAGGAGACAGGTGACAGGCCAATGAGTTGTGAATGAACATCTTCATGTTGTGACATTTACCGCTCACGACCCTCTGCCAACCTTGGCCTTCAGAACTTACTGGGGCTTCCCGATGGCTTCACATGTTAACTCAAGCGCATCTCCTTCCCGGGTTAGGCCTTGTAGAGGGTAAGTCATCTGGATATGCACTTGCGGCTTATCTGTGTGACAATAATACAAAATGTGATGTTTAGCCAAACAGCGGCATCAGGCAGATCAGACCTGCACACTGCCACAAACCCCCCATGGCCAGTACTTACTCTCTCCCCATCCACGTTCCTTCAGCAGCATCCTTCTAATTAGTTAGTAATCCTGGCATTTGTTCAAATTAAATCGACTAATAACTCTAAGGAGTGAACCTTGAGTAGATAAGAGATTCATAAGCCAACTGTGCCACCTCAAACAATTCCTGTGAAATACATTTTGTAACATTGTATCTCTGAACTCAGTCAAGCTAAGGGAAACTCATTTACCTTCATGCTGAGGTAAAGCTGAAGATATTTGTGGTGCTCAAAATTGACACATTTAATCATATATCACATATCATGTGACAATGTGTTTTGACATTGCATATTAATAAGTGTCTCTTCTATGCTCTTGCTATCAAATTGTTTCCTGAATTCCACTTAAACAGCTTTATGATGAAAAGATCTGGGAGAGATGGGTGGCCCCAGATGAAACAATCATGGCAAAACCATAGAAGAGGAAAGGGGATTGACATTTATCCAGAGCCCACTCTCTGAGGAACCATTACCTGCAATGGAATACGCAAGAGTTATAGGGAAGACAACATTGGTACCCATAAATGACACAGCTAGTTGGAGGTCACAGAGACAACACAATACCAGATAGCCCTATAGAATGGAGGGTGAGACAGAGTTCTGATTCTAAAGTACATTTCTCAACAGCTGTCCATAATTAAATCTGAGCATAGCTTTCTAATATAGTTGTACATTCAGGAAAGTGACACAAGTTATTTTTATTTCCAATGGTGGCTTAAAGCTGAGATTGCTGGAGAGATGGCATGTGGGTTTCAGCAATGAATGATGGGGGTTCAGGGACTAGGGCAGGAAACAAGTAGTTAGAATCAACATGGATAGATGTACAAAGACATGTGTAAATAGAACCTTAGTGGAATCAGATATTTTCCTACGCTTCTCATTTAATTCTGTGGTTCTGTAAATGTATATTTTTGGAAACGGACCCCAGAGTAATAAGTGTGAGAGGGCAAGACATCAGTTGGCTGAAAGGTCAAAACAATTACCATAGTTTTACTTTCCCACACAATCACATCACCGAAACAACAGCTCCTTGGCCTTTTACAAGTAGTGGTGAGCTCATTCGTATTCATCCTATAGAATAAGAAAGAAGACAGAAATACGGCCAGGTTCTGCCAATCTCACCCTGCACACAGCTATGGATGCTGCACAGGGGAGTGAGTCATCACCCAGGACTGCTGTTGCCAGATGAATTTTTAGTCCAGATCCCATCACAAACCTTATGCTATGTCATAGAGAACCCACAACATTATGGTCTTTTTAAGAGAGCCCCCTTGAACAGCCACTAGTATGCGCTGTCCACTGGGAATTGGTACTACTTTCTGTGGTGCAATGTCACTTGTTAGAGGACAGAAAGCTGACAAAACCTCCAGATGGCCATTGCAAGTCACACAGTCCCTCCCTTGGACTTACTGGCAAAGCAAAATGGTAAGGATCCTAATAAATTTTATTAGAGAAAAGCAGGAATATTTGCAGAGAATAAATAGGGTGACCTTGAACTAGCACTGGCTCTGGAGTTGAAGCAAGGGCTCCCGGGCACCCACTTTTAGATCCTATCTTAGACTAAACAGAACCCTGAGGTGTACTGTATGTCTATTATTTTTAGTGATACAAGTTCTTTTGCCTGACATGCAGCTATTTGATGAAACCTGGTTTTTTAAAAGAATAAAAGCAAAAGAGAGGTTATGACACACAGATAACAAAAGACCTATCTAATAGTTCACCCTGAGAAACCAAATAGCACTCAGGAAATCTTGCTTAGGGGACTTCTGACATAAATGGAGGGCCCCAAATCTAGGCAGCAGCAGAGCATTTGCTTATAGGTTTATGTGTGAGCCACAGAAGAGCCAGGTATTTTCATGCCCTACTGACTTCAGCCCATTCATTAAGGAGAACAGAATGGCTGCTGACCTGCACTTGCTACTTGTGTTCACCAAAGCATGCTTGCTGGTCTCCTGGTCTGCACTTGCTGGCTAATGCCTGCTGATATGTACTTGCTGGTCTGGAGTTGCTGGTCTATGCTTGGTGGGCTGTCTTGCTAGTATGTGCTTGCTGGTCTGTGCAAATTTTCTGTTGCTTCTCTCCTCCGTGTAATTTACAAGCAGTCAGGAAAGGTGTATTTTCAGGACAGTGTACTTGGGTCTCCCATGTTCAACTTCCAGTTGAACATGAGAGAGTGTAGCAAAGTCTATCCCACCCTGCCTCTTTGTTACCACTTAGTTTTTCTTAGTTAAACTTTCTTTTTAACACATGTTCCCAATGAGCTATTTACCAGTTGTCAGTCACAACATAAATCAGAAAGAATAAGTGAAGGACTTGACATGCCTGTAATTTGTATTTTAAGACAGAAAACTATACCCTGAGCTTTGATCATTGATTTTCTTAGTTTATTGTCGAGGTACCTGGAGAAGCTTCTACCATGTTAGGTATGGACATGGCTGCCACAGTTACCCTAAAGGTTGGCAGAAAAATTGCACATCAATATCGCTTGTATTATGCAGCAAAAGGTCCCTTTCCATTGATACACACAGTATTTATGGGCATATTATCTGACCATGGGCAGCTGAGCTATCTTCATACCCTATAAAGCAAGCAGTAAGATCTGTTCCTGAGGTGATAGGAAATGTAAAGGCAAATGTTATTCCCCTTTCAATGTCCTAACTGAGGAACTTCGGACTCTTCAACAAGTGGAACAGCAACATGGAAGTTCCAGTGATGCCTCAAGAGATCAGGGGCATTAAATTGTCTCCCAAAAGACCCTGGCTACATACACAGAGATATGTCAAAATATCAAACTATCCAGATGGTTGATTGAAGAACCAGAGCCTATCATTTATATTTTAATTCCATCCATAAATCAAATGTTATAACTCACCACATCTTTTCTGAAACAGAACCAGACTCCAAGATTTATCTTTAAGTAATGAGATAAAGCCTTGCACATTTTCTAGGGGATCATTTTACGCCTCAGTTGGTGTCGTTAGGCACAAGGCTAAAAGCCAGATAATACTTTCTACCCATGCAACAACTGTCCAGCAGCATATTGCTCAGAATGGCTTAATGTCATTATAAAATGGAACTGCTATACAAAAATAAGGAAAACAGCTAGGCCTTTGAGCTTAAGGAGAATTACCCTCACAGAGATGGCATCAGCAACAGCCAATCAATTAGGTGGAAAGATTTGAGGTTTTCATAATATACTGTAATTTTTTAAGCCCTCTAAAATACACTTAGAAAGACCACTAGAGCTTACCAAATTTGTTCATGAGTCCAAGTTGCACAGAGGGTTAAATACCAGGAGGCCACAGGGCACACTACAGTAGCAACCAATTAAAAAAATAATTTTAGGAAGACATTCTGATTTGATGAGACATTCCTTAAATGTACTTTTCTCTCTCTATAAAGAGGGACATATAAAAGAAAACTCTTATAGAGGTCTGAATAGCTTTCCGGCAAATTACAATTGATTTCATGCCAGTCTGACCTTGCACTACGTTCTGTGATCTTCTTAGAAGATGAAACTCACGATTTTGCAACCTGTATGTCAATTTCCTATGCAAATGAAAACACAGTCTCTCCTCTTCTGAAGCCCAAGACTGGAGCATCAGGTCTGTGAGACCCCCCCTCCCCCACCTGCCATCTTTCCCATGGAGGAGACAGCAGAAGAGCTGAGGCCAGGGAGAGTGCCCTGATAGTCTTGGCAGGAGGTTTACTATCCCCAGGGCACCTGCTACTTTCTCTCTTTTTCTGAGAAGTTCTAAATCAGGGCATGCTAACATCAAATGTTCTTTGACATGGCTACTACAACCAGGCCCAAGGGCTTTGCATGAAAATCTCTACCTATAACTACAAGGGCTTGAGTGCAAATCTCCAAGTTCCTTGTTTTATTTTCATTCAATGTTTAGAAACACACTGAGTGTGGGATTTGATGCTTGTGGATCAAGAGCTCACATTTCAAGTTCTCCCAGGGAGAACACAGCAGCCCCCACCCTGTCTAGGAGAACTCAGCACTACCAGCGTGGCTAGGAGAGGGTCTGGGTCAGGCTCTGTGCACTCAAGCTTGGAAGAAGCAGTGACTGAAGAGTCTGTCAATCATGGAGGATTACTGCAGTTTGGAGTAGAACAACAATGCCAAGATTAACCTGAGATTTGGTTCATATTAGAAGCTGTTTGAGCTCAAAGCAAAAATCAGCCCCTACAATATGGTTGTCTAAACTGCTGGGGGAAGACAGCTTTGTATGAGAAGAGGGCAATATGCAGGGCACACAAGGAGACTGCACCTGGCTGGGGAAGAGGTCCACAGAACTTCCAGAGAATTGAAAAAGGACAGCTTGTAAAACACTGGCCTTTTTATTGTTCTAAGACATTTGTGACTAATTTTCAGGGCTAGTTGTTTGCTCTCACGGTGAAAGGACCTCCTATAAGTGTGGCACTTAAAATTATACTCCCTTCTTTTGATCTCAGCAGCTGGGAGGCTGAGGCAGGGGGATTTCCATGAGTTTTAGGAAAGCCTGGGTTATTGAGTGAGACATCTGCCTCAAAGCAAAAAAGAAAAGACAGATTAAGACAATCAATTCTACTTCTTGAGGAGGGAGGAGCTATAACAGATTAAGAGAATGAAATAACTCTGCTAGGGGCAGGGTGGGACCTGAGAACACCAGTACCCCAGACAATGTCAGAACACCAGACAATGGCACTTCTTCCTGAAGGATGCACTAGTCTTTTTGTGGATGTTAAAGTTACTGCTCCCTCAACAGAATCAAATTTTATTCTACACCCCTGAGGAACACAGTTCTGCTGAAAATGGGGTCTACACACAGAGAGTGCTTGCTTCCCCATAGCTTTGAAGGGACATTTAGGATCAGAAGCAAGTATTATTGAGG